AAACCCTAAACTCTACAACCGCAAACCCCAAACCCTACACCCTGGATCATGGGCTCCGGGCCGATTGCGACAGGACAGATTCACCGGTACTTTTCGGGGGTTTTCAAGTCTTCGAGGGAGGGTTTAGGGTTTCAGGGTTTAGGGTTTAGGGTTGCAGGCTTTCAGGGTTGAGAGGTTTCAGGTTTGGTTTCAGGGTGTGGGGTTTAGGTGTCTTTTTTTTTGGATTCAGAGTTTTAGGATTTAGGTTTAGGGTTCGGGCCTTGAGAATTCAGCATCACAGCGGACAACGATGTAGACAGTGTATTCGTCGCAGATCGTACAGGACGCTTGTATGCCGGCAGGCTGATCGACTGGGCTAGCATCACCTCAACCCTAAACCCTAAATCCTAAACCCTAGACCTAGAACCCGAGAACCCGAGAAACCTAGAACCCTAGAACCCTAGAACCCGAGAACCCGAGAACCCTCAAAAGAAGGCTCCATGTTCTGGGCACCTGCCCGCCGTCCTACGCTGAAGCGCCTCGGATCAGTTCCCGAGTCAGGTGTGAAGCAGGGTTCAGGGTTCAGGGTTTCGGGTTTAGGGTTTAGGGTTCAGGGTTTAGGGTATCGGGCTTAGGGTTCAGGGTTTAGGGTTTCGGGTTTCGGGTTTCGGGTTTAGGGTTTAGGTTTTAAGGTTTCGGAGGTGATGTACTCAGGCTTGCGCGCCCCAAGATCTCGAGCCTCACTTCAGAACCAAGGGCAAGACACCGTCAGATGAAGCCATCGAAGCCCCAAGCCTTTCAAAGCCCTAAGCCCTTCAGGGTTTAGGGTTTAGGGTTCAGGGTTTAGGGTTTTGGGTTTAGGGTTTTGGGTTTAGGGTTTAGGGTTCAGGGTTCAGGGTTTAGGGGTTTTCTGTGCTTGCTGGCTAGAGCCTGGCTGCTCCAGGGTTCAGGATTTAGGTACCTGAGTCTTAAGTGAAAGATTAGAAGAGCGACCCCCGTAGAGATTACAAAGCTTCGGGCAGGCTTTCCCGGACGCAGGGCTGAGGTGGTTGGCTTCAGATTCCGGATTCAGGTGTTGGATCAGGGTTTAGGGTTTAGGGTTTAGGGTTTAGGGTTTAGGGTTTAGGGTTTAGGGTTTAGGGTTTAGGGCATCGAAGCCCGCAGGTGACTGTGGAGAAGCTGGCCATCAACGCGGCGCCTTGGCCGAAGCTCCCGCAACCCTAAACCCCTAAACCCTAAACCCTAAACCCCTAAACCCTAAACCCTAAACCCCTAAACCCTAAACTCTAAACCCTAAACCCCTAAACCCTAAACCCTAAACCCTAAACCCTAAACCCTAAACCCTAAACCCTAAACCCTAAAGCACTAAACCCCTAAACCCCTAGACCCCTAGACCCCTAAACCCTAAACCCTAAACCCTAAACCCTAAACCCTAAACCCTAAACCCTAAACCCTAAACCCTAAACCCTAAACCCTAAACGCTAAACCCTAAACCCTGAAACCTAAACCCTAAACCCTAAACCCTAAACCCTAAACCCCTAAACCCTCTAAACCCCAAAACCCCTAAACCCCGAAACCCCTAAACCCCTAACCCCTAGACCCTACACTAGAGGTCATTTTTTGGCTACCACGCTTTCTTTCACCACCCTCGGAGGTTGTGTTCATGGTTGGCTCAGCTCCGTGCTTAGTAGCGCTGCCTCCATACGCGCTGTAATCTCGCGCTCTCCTTCTCCTCGTCTTTACCTGGGCTGGGCCTTCGCAGACCTGGTAGGGTTTAGGGTTAAGGGTTTGGGGTTTGGGGTTTAGGGTTTAGGGTTTGGGGTTTAGGGTTTAGGGTTTAGGGTTTAGGGTTTGGGGTTCAAGGTTTAGGGGCCCAGCTTCTCACCGTTGCAGGTCATGGCCGGGTGCACCCCCGAGATGTTCCGGCTGGTGGTGGCTGCGGCCAAAGCAGTTCTGCGCAAGGAAGGGCAGCCCTAAACCCTAAACCCTAAACCCTAAAGTCTAAACCCTAAACCCTAAACCCTAAACCCTAAACCCTAAACCCTAAAGTCTAAACCCTAAACCCTAAACCCTAAACCCTAAACCCTGAACCCTGAACCCTGAACCCTGAACCCTGAACCCTGAATCCTACACCCTAAACCCTAAACCCTAAACCCGAAGCACCCTAAACCCTAAGCACCCTAAACCCTAAACCGTGTAAAGCCTACAGTCGACCCCAAAGTCTAACCCCTAACGTTTTCGGTTTTAGGGTTTAGCGGCCCAGGCCCGAGGGTCGCAGGCTTCAGGATCAGGTTCAAGGGTTGGGGGGTTCCCATCGCAGGCGGGCATCCGACAACAACCCCAAGCTATCCGCCTATGTACGACAATCCCAGCCCCAATCCTACAACAATCCCAAACAATTCTACGAAAATCCCTACAATCCTACGACCATCCCAACAAATCCTACCAACAACTCCTGCAAGTCCTACGAGAACCCAACAAATCCTACGAAAATCCGAACAAGTCCTCAAGAAATCCCAACAAATCCTGAACGACATCCCAACATTTGCCAACTCTCCGGCCGGGCTGCCGATAATCGTAACCATTCCTACTATATTCCCAACAAGTCCTAAACAAACTCCAACCAATCCTAAAAAGATCCCAATGTGTTGCCACTTTCTGGCGCCGGGCTGCCGAAAACCCCAACCAATCCTACGACAATCCCAGCCCTGTTTCGCTTGACTCCCCAACTAGTCTCCGCAAGAGTTCCGCGGCATTCACAGTCCGGGGGAAAACTCGGGAAAAGCCCTCTTGGCATGTATCGCCTGCCTCTTCCATGAGAGTGTTTTGGGGAGGGAACGGCGCCTTTACCCTAAACCCTAAACCCTAAACCCTAAACCCTAAACCCTATACCCTCAACCCTAAACCCTAAACCCTAAACCCTAAACCCTAAACCCTAAACCCTAAACCCTAAACCCTAAACCCTAAACCCAGAGGCACCGAAGGCCTCTTCAGCAACATCGACACATCAAGAGATCGAGGCATGAGACCCTGGACATACAAGGCAACATCCCGATCCTTGAGTTTGAAACCGCACAGGCTTACGGCAGCTGCAGGTCTTCGCGGTCTCAGAGCATGAGATAAGTAGGGTTTAGGGTTTAGGGTTTAGGGTTTAGGGTTTAGGTAGGTTTTCAGAAGCATTGCTTGCAGCTCAAGTAAGCTCCAATGCTTGATCGACTCCAGGCCCTGCACGCCCGAAACTGAACAAGTTTGAAACCCTAAACCCTCAACCCTAAACCCTAACCCTACACCCTAAACCCTCAACCCTACACCCTAAACCCTCAACCCTAAACCCTAATCCCTAAGCCCTAAACCCTAAACCCTCAAAATCTACACAAAAGGAGTTTGGGCTGCATGGCGTGCATGCCACGACCATGGGCGGCCTGACCGAAGGAGGGTTTAGGCTGCAAGGTTTAGGGTTTAGGGTTTAGGGTTTAGGGTTTAGGGTCTAGGGTTTAGCGTTTAGGGTTTAGGGTTTACGGTTCAGGGTTTAGGGTTTGGGGTTTAGAGGGTTCAGCGTGCAGGGTTTAGGGTTTGGGGCTTAGGGGTTTTTAGTCTCGAGGGCATGGGCTCATTTTGAGAGCCAGCTTGTCGTTGCCTTGTCTTCGGTTCTCAATGCATCAGTAGCATGGTTCTGCGGACTTTTACAGGTTCTTACGGGAGGGGTTCATGGGGGGTAGGTACCCTTGAACCCCCCCCTCCCTTAAGAACCCTCTAAACTTCGTAGTCCATCAGCCCGCCTTTGTCCTGGAAATCTGGGGCATCAGACCATTTATCGGGAAACTGGCAGAGAGGGATGATTGAGCGTGGGGTTTGGGGTTTAGGGTCTAGGGTTGAGGGTTTTGCTTTGTTTTAGGGATGGTACTGCAGGTTGAAAGTAGGACTTAGGGTTTAGGTGCTTTGACCCCTAGAAAGGACCAGTTCACGTACTACCTCGCCGACATTCCGCAGCAGCTCCTATGTTCTTAAACCCCAAACTCTCAGCCCTACACCCTAAACCCTAAACCCTAACACCATCTTCCCCGGTACATTCACAGTCCCTTACACCAAGCTCGATGCCGATCAGGTGCAACACCGGTGGTTGTGGTGAATGGCCCTTGCAGAGACTTGTCAGCCTAAACCCGAAACCCTAAACCCTAAACCCTGAACCCTACACCCTGAACCCTACACCCTAAATTCGCAGGGCTCGATGGGTTTGGGGTCAAGGGTTTGGGTCTTAGAGGAACCTCCATGAATCTAAGGCCTTACCCTTGTTTCTAGGGATCCGAAGTATAGGCCCTTATGACATATAGTGTAGATGAGGGTTGTAAACCCTAAACCCTAAACCCTAAACCCTAAACCCTAAACCCTAAACCCTAAACCCTAAACCCTAAACCCTAAACCCTAAACCCATTGTATAGCAAGGGACCCAAAATAAGGGCCCATACTGTCGGATCCTTTCACAATGGCCTCAAGCAGCTACGCCTTGAGCCCTAGCTGACATTGGGCATCCTGTGAATCTCAAAAGGCAGGGTTTAGGGTTTAGGGTTTAGGGTCTCAGGTCTAGGGTCTAGGGTCTAGGGTTTAGGGTTTAGGGTTTAGGGTTTTTGCAGTCTAGGGGTCTGGGGCGCTGGGTTTAGGGCTCGCGCATTCTTGGCGGTTTTTGGGTTTCGTTTGGCGTCACAGGCTGTCGGGACCGCGTCCTGCACCCTAAACCCTGAAACCTAAACCCCAAACCCTAAACCCTCAACCCTAAACCCTAAACCCTAAACCGCCCCAGCGGCTTTCGCATGCATCAGCGAGCTTCGGCGCGGCCTTGGGGCTCTTAGGGAGCGTGTTCCAGGCACCGGTCTTGTACAAACATATAGAGCCGGCATAGAGCCCGGTACTTCATTCAGACGCCCGAAGTAAACCTTAGGGTTTAGGGTTTAGGGTTTAGGGTCCCGTTGCTTTCCAATTGCAGCCCAGTCCCCCCAACAGCCGGACCGATGCGCTTCCAAAAG